AGCATCCTGAGTAGCTGGGATTACAGGCACGTGCCACCATGCCCAGCTAATTTTTTGTATTTTTAGTAGAGACGGGGTTTCACCATGTTGACCAGGTTGGTCTCGATCTTTCGACCTTGTGATCCACCCGCCTAGGCCTCCCAAAGTGCTGGGATTACAGGCTTGAGCCACCGCGCCCGGCCTAATTTTTTTGTTTTGTTTTGTTTTGTTTTTAAAAAGTGGCATTGTTTTATTACTATCCGCAGGTGGGACCTGCATGAGGTGGCTGGTGTGCTGGGTTCAAGGGGTAAGGGGTAACGTCTGGGCTGTGGAGATGATGACAGAAAGGCTGGAAGGAAATGGGGTGGATTTGAAGGCCAGGCCTAAGAAGTCCTCAGGTCCGCTTCTGGGAAGGGACAGCCTTGAGGAAGGAGTCATGGCAAGCCATAGCTAGGCCACCAATCAGATTAAGAAATTCTGAGAAATCTAGCTGCCCATCACTGTTGGTGTCCAGTTTCTTCATCATGTGGTCAAGGACACCAGGGTCCTTCTGGTTTTTTGTGAAGGCAGCCAGTTCTGTATTCATGAAGCTCAGGAACTCCATCTTTGAGAGAGTGTAGTTATAACCATCTTTTCCAGCATACTTCTGGAAAACAGCAATCAGGGACTCGATGCACCGCTCAGTCTCTGTAGGGCTGGAGATTTTTGCCATGTTGTAGCCGAGTGAGGCGCACAGGAGGCTGCAGCTGGGAGTGGCGCTGAGAGCTCTGGGAGCGCAGCGTGCGGGTTTCCCCTGGCTAATTTTTATATTTTTAGTAGTGATGGGGCTTCACTATGTTGGCCAGGCTGGCCTCAAATTCCTGACCTCAGGTGATCCGCCTGCCATAGCTTCCCAAAGTGCTGGGATTACAGGCGTGAGCCACCGTGCCCAGCCTGTTTTTTATTACTTGTAGAGACAAGGTCTCACTATGCTGCCTAGTCTGTTCTTCAACTCCTAGGCTCAAGTGATCCTCCTACCTTGGCCTCCCAAAGTGCTGAGATTACAGGCATACACTGTGCCTGGCCATTAGTTGATTGGTTAATTAATCCATGCATTATCTTTCATCAAGATCCCTGTTTTACAGGAGGAAATATGCATTATCTTTCATCAGGATTCCTGTTTTTTGTTTTTGTTTTTAAAGATAGGGTTTCACCATGGTGGCCAGGCTGGTCTTGAACTCCTGACCTCAGGTGATCCACCCACCTCAGCCTCCCAAAGCGTGAGCCACAGTACCAGGCCGGAATTCCTGTTTTACAGGAGGAAATAGAGAATCAGAAGAGTTGGAGAATTTGCCCAAGGTCATACTCAAAAGACTAAAATATTTTGAAGGGCAATGCCCAGAAAATAGCAGGCATTGCTCATTGCTATGAAGAGCTTATTCACACAGAGTCATTTGTGAATTCTTTCCTTCAGAAATGATGACCGGCTGCCCCTCTGCATCCAGAGCTAATGCTGATTGCCAAAGCTGAGATGTACTTTCCTTTTAGACAAAAAGGTACATTTCACACTGAGGACAGCTCAGCTTGGTAACCTGTGGCCAAGGAGCACCTGATAGAGGGAACAGCTCAGGCTTTGAAGGCCTCCTGCCTGTGCTGTGCATGGGATCAGCTGATGGAGTTGGGATAATTCACTTGGGGAGCTTACTCAGCAGCCTAGTGGCCTTTTGGCCACCAAGCACCAACAACCGCCCATCCCCCAGCCCCGGTCCCCAAAAGCTTCCAGCTTAAACTGAGAAGTGCAGGGAGATGGTTTGGTTCAAACTCCAATTAGGAGGGAAGCTGATCACACACACTTTCAAATTCCAATTAGGAGAGAAGCTGCGCGCTCTCTCTCTCTCTCTCTCTCTCTCTCTCACACACACACACACACACACACACACACACACACACTGAATTAAGTCTGGCAGTTACCAAAGGTTAATAATCGGACTTACTGTAGAATTAAGACAGAATGGCTTTGCTACTGAATTCCAAAAACCCTTCATCCAGGGTTCTCTCTTCTATCTCTAAGCTCACTTACAACACTGGTACACAATGTAGCCTTGAGGTATAAGTCTGAAAGGTTAGCACTGCCTGCATGACTTTAGGCAAGGTTCTTAGCCTGTTTCCATTTCCTCCTGTAAAATGGGACTAAATGGTGCCTTCCTTACAGTGTTGATACAAATTAAGTTTATTACTCTACCAAAGACACTTATTACAGGGCTAGTGTAAGTACCTAAAAAGATCATGTAGCCGGGCACGGTGGCTCAAGCCTGTAATCCCAGCACTTTGGGAGGCCGAGGCGGGTGGATCACGAGGTCAAGAGATCGAGACCATCCTGGTCAACATGGTGAAACCCCATCTCTACTAAAAATACTAAAAATTAGCCGGGCATGGTGGTGCGTGCCTGTAATCCCAGCTACTCAGGAGGCTGAGGCAGGAGAATTGCCTGAACCCAGGAGGCGGAGGTTGCGGTGAGCTGAGATCGCGCCATTGCACTCCAGCCTGGGTAACAAGAGCAAAACTCCGTCTCAAAAAAAGATCATGTAAAGAATGACTATTCACTAATCCTGTTCCATCAGTTAGAATCCAAGGTTGAGAGGCTGGCCTGAAGTCATCGAGCAGAAGAGCTAGAAACCCATCCTCTGCACCTCTTGACATTCCTAGGTTTCTGGATGCTCTGTCCTTCAACAGCTAAGTGATGCCATCACAGGAACTCTGTGAACTGTACTGACATGTCATTAGTTCAACAAATATTTATCGAAAGTCTACTATATGTCAGGCGCTCTCTCAGCTGAGCATACTAAATAAGGCAGCCAAGGTCACTGCATTAGGGAACTTACTGAGGGAAACTGGCAACAAATCAACAAATTTAAAATATACATTTAGATAGCGCTGGGAAGGAAATGGATGAGGTATCCTAAATATGTACAATATGGACCTTTGTTTTGTATCACTAAGAGGTTCACAGCCATCTGTCCAGGGCAAATGCGGTCTTGGTTTGACAGACCTGGCTCTGAATTCTGGCTCTAAGTGACCTTGGTCTGATGAGTCAATCTTTCTGCGCTCCCTTCCTCATCAGTAAAACAGGAATACTCACTGTTAAGGTTGTTGTACACATTGAAACGTAAAATCTCAGTGTTTACCATTTTTCACTTCAGGTGGGTCAACCTGGGACCGTGGAGGCCAGGTAGAACTGCAGGCTTGCACTGTATATTTCTGAGTGTTTGTTTTGGGAGCAGGTATATGGTAATGGGGTTTCTTGTGGGAGCAGTTGCTCCTTCTCTGCCATTTGATGAATGGCTTTTCTCAAACCTCACCTTCAGTGGAGAGATGTTCTCAGTGAATCATTGCTGTTCAGGACTTAATGCAGTCTTGTAAGAATCACAAGTTACTCTCTGTAACTCAGTAACCTCCAAAGTGCATTTAGAAATACTAGAACTTCTATTTATCATGTTTTCTACTTTCTCTTTTTTGTCTTATGATTACACAGTATGTGGTTATAACAGTCCAAGTAAATAATTTATAAACACATGGGGTATGCATGATCAAGTTTCTAACAGGATGTACATCAGAAAAGGGGAAAGGCCACATGGAGGCTACAGCCCTCATTTTGCTTGCTCAACATAAACTAAGAAAGGGTGTATTTCCATGAACTGGCCTGCAGGCACCACTATGCTAATATGCAGCAAGATTAAGGAAAGGGCCCAGTCTCCTAAATCCCAAACTAGTGCTTGTTCCAAGTTTCTGTGGCAGGGCAGGGAGTCGGGGGGAGAGGGGATACAACTAGAAATGAAATACGTGATGAAACTAAATGAACAGCCAACTTTTGGACCATCCATTTAGATGACACGTTAGCTTGAGAAACAGACAAAGCAGATGACCATCTCTGCTACTGCTTCAAACTCTCCAAACACAAAACCTCCATCTATTTTTCCCTATCTCATTTGTAGGACACTATTTGATCTGTATCACATTATACTATGTAGAGTCCATTTCAAAATGTGTCCTTCCTGTCCCCCCGCCAACACATAAACACACACCCCACACACCCCTCTCACCACACATTCCAACTTCTTTCAAACCATTTCACCTCCATGGAGGTGACACCATTTCAGACAAAAAATAAAAAATAAAAAAAAAATAAATGCAGCAGCAAGATGTTGAAAATAAAAATAAAGCGGACTTTATTTAGAAGATAAAGGTGGTGGTTATCGGTTTTGGTTAATCGAGTTGGGCTCAAGTGTTTTACAGGTCTTAAATGCCATCACACAGACTGGCATGCCAAGGGCATTCTGAATGCCAATTACAGACTGGAATTGTTTCAAAAACCAAGATGCTATCAAAAGCTGATGGAGTTTAGATTTCTCTTAAAGTCGGACTAACACACTTCTTAAATAGAGTAAATAGATTGCTTGCTTCTGAAAGTCAAAACACTATGCTGAGCAATTCCCCTCCCTTTCTCCACAAGTCCCTAAGGCAGTATTACAGTTGCCTCTGACAGCAAAAATTCCAACATTTCAACAGAGGGGGGCTGAGAACTGGGAAAAATGAAAAGCAAAATTAAATAAATGTAATTGATACAGGCAGCTGCCACTTGTGGCAAACCAAAGCCTAGTCCGATGCCCATTTTCTTCACATTTGCACTGACATCTTCCCAAGTAGACGGTAACTACATTCTTGAAGGAATGTGCCAAGACTAGGGTGGGGAAAGCCCAGACAGTGAGTGGACAGAATGCATTTTGCATCCAGTTACCTTAGGTGGTACAATTGATTTAAGGACAAATACCCAGACTATGGAAAATCCACTAGCAAATACTAGAAAAGAGGAGGATTAAATGCATAACCAGTGCAGAATAACTGCAAGGCACCAAGACCACATCCAACCAGCCCATTTCCTCCTCTCCACCATTGAATGGATCTGGGAGAAAGCATTAGTAACAGCACTCATCAACTGCTTCCCTGGAACAAAACATGACAAAACACACGGAAGGTTTTTTTCATTATGGTTCTCGGCGTACTTTATTCTCCTGCTGTCTAGCTAAGCAGCCCACACAGGACAGAAATGGGTAGCACTGAGGAATGATCAGATTTTTTTTTCTATCCCCAATATTTCTGCCCCCTCCCTAAGCCCTGACCCAACCCTATCTAATAATCAGGAATGGTTAGTACATCATTCTCTTTTAAACAACTGAAATGGAAACAAGGCATTAGAGGACCATGCCTCTTCTTAATAGGGCTTAGGAGCTGGTATGAGCTCTTTATTCACAATGGAGCGTCTCTCCTTCAAATACCTGGATTTTTTTTTTTTTTTTTTTTGTACACTGGTTCATAGATCGGCACTTGACTCTGAACCTGGCACCAAAAGGCACAATATCCGATACCCTGTACAAGAGCTATTAGAGATGCTGCCATATGGATGGGTAAAACTGAGCCAATCCCACTTATGAATGGAAGGCTTGGACATGGAAGGGAAGATACAAACAAGCTGGAAAAAACACAAGCCCATACTTTTTGCTAGAGTGGAAATGAAAGTCTTGTTTTTTAGTCCTCTAAGGACCAGGAAGCAATTTTAAAACTTCCTTGGTTTTTCTGAAAGCAGCATATTCAAAATGCCAGCAGAAACTCCTAACAACTGCAAAACCAAGAGGATCAAAGCTCACCAACATCCCTTCTTATTGCTGAGTCTGAAATTCAGGGTGCCCTGTTCCCTTGTACAAGGGAAAATAATTAAAGTCTGATTTATGGTACTCATACCACATCACACTTCTAAAAAAATATTAAAGTGTGTGACCAGGGGAACGTTTGACACCATTTTATTAACCTTCAACTTCAGTGGAAAAATATAACCTTTTTCAAGTGCCATTTTCATCACAAGAGTTCTAGTTAGTGTGTGTATTCACACACACACAATTTTTTCTTTTTGTTGGTTGATTTTGAAGTGCAGCAAGAGACCAATACCGCATTGTAGTCAATCAAATAAAAGAACAGAAGGCCAAGCAGTTTCCAAACGGTTATTTTATCAGATTGTTTGAACATTAAATTTATCCTCTTTGCAATCCAAAATAGTTACCTGAAGTTTGCTGTTTTGTGTGTATGTGTGTTTACTTTTATCGTGTATTTTGTTTTTCTAAACTCTTTGGCACAATTTTCTGGGGGCGTTCAGACTGCCACAATACAAGTCAGGAGAGGGCGTTTTCTTTGTGCTGCCAATTCTGATCATTTAAATTTTGGTTTGTTTGGGTTGTGATTTATTTTGTTTTTGAAGTCTGCGTTCTTTATTTGTAACAATTGTACTTTTATTTTTCTATATCCTCTAACGCCAGAGTTTTTTTTTTCTCCCCCCTCCCCCCCACTTCTACATTCACAGTTGAACCATATTAGGAAAGGCGCCTTGATGAAAAGATCAGGATAGGAGCTCTGACCATTCGTCAGTGTTTTCCCTAGAGTAATAATAATTAAAAAAAAAAAAAAAAAAAAAAAAACAAAAACAAAAAAAAACAAAAACAAAACCTAAAGAGCGTCTTTCCTCTTTTTGTTGTTTTTTTCTTTTGTTTTTTTTTTTTTTGTTTTTTTTGTTTTTTTTTTTACATCTCTTGTGCTGCATCAGTAGACAGAACTTCGGTTAGTTTTTATGAAATGCAACATCTAACCCCTTGTTTTCTGGGAAAAAGAAAACTGCAATGACTTGAAGTTGAGAATGTGGATACCGCCTCATTCACACACACTCATTCTCAGACTGTAAAAAATCCCTCACCCTCCTTCTAGCTGGCAAGCATACAGTACCATGTGGCAAAGGTACAGCGAAGGTGGGCTTGAGACCCAGGCTCCATCTTTCTCCTCAGTAGCAAAGGCCAGGCTGCCTTTTACAACAAAGCACCACAGCTGAACCCAGTCCCTCCTCCTCTCCCAAACCAGTCATTCCACTCGGCACCGGCCAAAAGACAGAAAAGCTACTTCTAGCCTCTCCTGGGAAGAGATAGCTTTCTTTTTTCCTTTCTTTTTTTTTTTTTTTTTTTTTTTTAAGTAAGTAACTCCATTGTTTTCTCTTTTCCAAGATGGCCGATGTTATGGTTTTCTACGAAGTCAGTGCTTACTTAGCTCACTAACAGCGCTGCTGTTGGCGGCTGCGGCTGCTGCTGTGGCAGGATTTTCAATGTGGTGTGTTTTCAAGCCTCACTCACTCATCCTCTCATTCCCAAACATTCAGCATCCGTGCACACTCCTCACTTCCAGGTTTTTCAAAAGATTGGAGATTTCCAGTGGGGGTCCTCAGGTTATCATCCCAATGGTGACAGATCTGAAAACAGATGGAAAAAAAAGGTCAATCTCTGAGATCACATAAACTGAATGGAATTTGTCAACTTTTCAAGGATTGACACTCTTCCTTTGTGCCATTGACTCGCTCTTATTAGCACCTACATCAGAGGGTGGGAGGGAAACTCAAAAGAGCCAATTTTACTGAGATCTGCATGGTAAGATAACTAATTAAGAGGGAAAGAAATTGAAACTGTATTTCAGTCTGGGTGCAGTGGCTCACGCCTGTAATCGCAGCACTTTGGGAGGCAGAGGTGGGCAGATCACGAGGTCACAAGATCAAGACCTTCCTGGCTAACACAGTGAAACCCCGCCTCTACCAAAAATACAAAAAATTAGCCAGGCATAGTAGTGCATGCCTGTAATCTCAGCTACTCGGGAGGTTGAGGCAAGAGAAGAATCACTTGAACCCGGGAGGTAGAGGTTGCAGTGAGCCAAGATCACACCACTGCACGCCAGCCTGGACAACAAAGCAAGACTGTCTCAAAAAAAAAAAAAAAAAAAAAAAAAAAAAAAAAAAAAAGCCTATAAATCCCAGCACTTTGGGAGTCTGAGGTGGGCAGATCACCTGAGGTTGGGAGTTCAAGACCAGCCTTGCCAACATGGTGAAACCCTGTCTCTACTAAAAATACAAAAATTGGCCCGGGCGCGGCAGCTCACACCTGTAATCCCAGCACTTTGGGAGTCCGAGGCAGGTGGATCATGAGGTCAAGAGGTTAAGAACAGCGTGGCCAAGATGGTGAAACCCTGTCTCTAGTAAAAATACAAAAAAAAAAAATTAGCCTAGTACAGTGGCGGACACATGTAATCCCAGATACTTGGGAGGCTGAGGCTGCAGTGAGCCAAGATCGTGCCACTGCACTCCAGCCTGGGTGACAAAGCAAGAGTCCGTCACACACACACAAAAATTAGTCAGGTGTAGTGGCTCGTGCCTGTAATCCCAGCTACTTGGGAGACTGAGGCAGAAGAATCACTTGAACCCAGGAGGGCAGAGATTATAGTGAGCTAAGATGGCGCCACTGTACACCTGGCAACAGAGCGAGATTGTCTCAAGAAAAAAAGAAAGTTAGTCGGGTATGGTGGCATGGCATGCACCTGTAATGCTAGCTATTCGGGAGACTGAGACAAGAGAGTTGCTCAAACCTGGGAGGTGGAGGTTGCAGTGAGTCAAAATTGTGCCACTGCACTCCAGCCTGGGCAACAGTGAGACTCCATCTCAAAAAGAAACACACACACACACACACACACACACACAGCAGGAGCCAGACAACTTTGACTTTGGAAATCTTCTGTAGAGCTAGGCAATGTCTAAAAGCACTGCTGTAAAGAAGAGGGCATGAGGAAAGGAATAAAAAACAGAAAAGAGAATTGGGGGAAATGACATTACTGATGATTTTATTAGGACTCAAAATACTCTTTCAGTGAATTCCAGTTATAAAAGTTATATTCTCCATCACTACGAGGAGTCAAACATTTGGCTCAAAGAAAAACTGAGGTTGCCTGACCCAGAAGCACCTAAATGGAAAAGAGTACAAACAAACAAAAAAAAATGCCACAAGGCAGTGCTTGCCAGAATGGCCTAAAGAAAACAGAACTCCCCTCCTCCAGGAAGTAGAAGAGGACAGTAGAAGCAAGATCTTACCAAGCTTGGTTCTTCAGTTTCCTCAGTTCTTTTGTTGCCCATGTAGCAAGGGTTTTTGCTTTGTTAGTCTTCGATCTCCGCCCTTCAGTTAACAATTCATGAATCATTGGCCTAGCTTCTACTAATTTCAGTACATCCTTCCCAAATGCTGTACATAAGTCCCTGTGCAAAATAAACACAGCTGAGAATGAGCTCTTGGCCCCATACCAGTATCATGTTTTGAGCCTTCCAAACCAGTGCTAAGCTGGCTATGGGTTTCTTAGCAAATTTCAGAGATAAATAAAACCCTCAATAGAGGTCACTAAACAGAGGCAATCTGTTGACCAACATCAGAGTTTAATGGAGTGCAATAGAGACCTTGAGGGTCTGGAATAAATATCACATGAACACTCAAAACAGGACATAAAGGGTTCTACAAAGAAGAAATCTCTGTGCCACAAGAAGTCAATTGTTGCTATCCATGCTACTCTCAAAATTACTTACATGTTTTCTCATTTTCCATGAGTAGTTCTATTCAGCTCTTAGAAGCAGGGTGTAACTTACCCTATTAGTCCAGCAGCACAAGCTACTACTCCATCTGTATGATCCTCATCTCCAGCAATATGGTCAATGAAAGACAGAATAAATTCTACTCTGGGTTGTACCAGCATCACATCCGCTACAAAAGAGAGAGAAGGTCTGATGCAGCTGTCCCTCATATAGCAGGACTACATCCTTTTTCAAAACTTCCAACTATTATACCCCTATCAATAAGGTCCAAGCTGGATAACTAGATGCACAGCATAGTTATATTAAATTATTCTTCCTTTGATTAATGTGTCATCCCCTCAAGTCAACAGAAGAGACAAATATTCCTCTTCCTACAGGCAAATATAGAAGGTTACGTAAAAAATTTTCCCAATCAGCAACAAGAACAAGTAATGGGAATTCTGATTCCCTCAAACTCCAATTTAGCTTGCAGGGGTGGGAAGGGGGTAGGAGACCTTCCACTCAGTTGACACAGGAAGCATTTATGTTGGTTTCCCGTCCCCCCGCCCCCCAACAGTCTTGCTGAATCTCATCCCTTGCAACACTCAAGATATATGAGAAAAAAAAGCAGAGGGCTGGGCACAGTAGCTCACACCTGTAATCCATAATTTTGGGAGGCCAACTGGCTGAGCTCAGGAGTTCGGGAGTGGCCTGGACAACATAGTGAAATCCCATCTCTACTAAAATACAAAAAGCCAGATGTGGTGGTTCATGCCTGTAGTCCCACCTACTCAGGAAGCTGAGGGATGAGAATCTCTTGAACTGGGGAGGTGAAGATTACAATGAGACACAATCATGCCACTTGTACTCCAGCTTGGGTGACAGAGTGAGACTGTCACCAAAAAATAAAAATAAAAAGGCTGGGCACAGTGGCTCAAGCCTGTAATCCCAGCACTTTGGGAGCCCGAGGGGGGCAGATCACTTGAGGTCAGGAGTTCAAGACCAGCCTGGGCAACAAGGCAAAAACCTCGCCTCTACTAAAAACAAAAAAATTAGCTGGGCGTAGTGGCAGATGCCTGTAATTGCAGCTACTCTGGAGGTTGATACAAGAGAATCGCTTGAACCTGAGAGGTGGAGGTTGCAGTGAGCCAAGATCACACCACTGTACCCTAGCCTAGGCGAGAGTAAGACTCCATCTCAAAAAAAAAAGGCAGAGCAAAAAAGTCTAGAGTCTTCCCCAAGCCACTCACTTCATTAGGGCACTGCTCCCCCTTCTCCCTGCCTTTAAGCAACAGGTGCTAGTTCACAAGCGAGCTACAGAATGACAGACATAGCCCATCTGGCTAAGTGCACACTGGCCAGTGGACGAAGGGTTGTATACTCAACGGTGTACGTTTTCCTGATCCCCCTTCAATCCCTGGACAATTCCGGTATAGGCTTCCAAGCAGCTTTCCCTTAGCTCATTCAAATAATCCACCATGTCATAGTCTGACTGTAAGACACAAAGAACAAAGAACAGAACCTACATTGTGCTGATCGCCTTTGGCTGCATGTTTGTCAACAGTCCCTCCAATTAGAGTTGGACTTAAAGAACAGCCAAGATAGCTTCAAGCTTACCTTGTCCACCTGGGCTTGGGAGGCCTGCTGAAGAGTATTCAATACAACCTCTAAGTATTTTTTAAACTCTCCACCAATAGCGAGGGCAATATCACCAAACACTGACAGAATCTGCGGCTTCACAGACCTGTGGACGTTCTCATTCTGACAAGGAACAAAAGGAAAAGTGAATAAAAAATCAAAACTTGTTTGGTCCAAAGGTTCAAGAAACTCATTTCTAACAAGCAACTATTGATTTTAAATATTTGGATGGGCCGGGCGCAGTGGCTCAAGCCTGTAATCCCAGCACTTTGGGAGGCCAAGGCGGGTGGATCATGAGGTCAAGAGATCAAGACTATCCCGGTCAACATGGTGAAACCCCGTCTCTACTAAAAATACAAAAAATTAGCTGGGCATGGTGGCACGTGCCTGTAATCCTAGCTACTCAGGAAGCTGAGACAAGAGAATTGCCTGAACCCAGGAGGCGGAGGTTGCGGGGAGCCGAGATCGCGCCATTGCACTCCAGCCTGGGTAACAAGAGCGAAACTCTGTCTCAAAAAAAAAAAATAAAATAAAATAAAAAAATAAAAAAATTTTGGATGGTCCTTTACAGCTTACAAAACCTTTCCCATTTGCACCTCACATTAATTCTAAGAAGCCAGCCCAGGTACTGTTATTCTCACTTTACACATGAAGAGCCTGACTTAAGAGTCAATCAAGGCCGGGCGCGGTGGCTCAAGCCTGTAATCCCAGCACTTTGGGAGGCCGAGGCAGGTGGATCACGAGGTCAAGAGATCGAGACCATCCTGGTCAACATGGTGAAACCCCGTCTCTACTAAAAATACAAAAAATTAGCTGGGCATGGTGGCGTGTGCCTGTAATCCCAGCTACTCAGGAGGCTGAGGTAGGAGAATTGCCTGAACCCAGGAGGCGGAGGTTGCGGTGAGCCGAGATCGTGCCATTGCACTCCAGCCTGGGTAACAAGAGCAAAACTCCGTCTCAAAAAAAAAAAAAAAAAAAGAGTCAATCAAGTGACTTGTCTGAGAACACAGAAGCAAAGTAGCAAAGCTGGGTATAAAGCTTAAAGACACACATAATAATTAATGATGGCTATCTCTGGAGAGAGGTATAATATACAAATGGTCCCCTACTCATGATGGTTTGATTTTTCCACTTTACAATGTGTTTATTGGGACCTACATGCATCATAAGTCAAGGAACATCGTATTTACTATTCCTCTGCATTTTACTGTTTAAAAAATCTCTAGTAGAGCACATGTTCCTTTAATTAACTTTACAATCTTTCGTGGCCAGGCGCAGTGGCTCACGCCTGTAATCTCAGCACTCTGAGACGCTGAGGTGGACGGATCATGAGGTCAGGAGATTGAGATCACCCTGGTCAACATGATGAAACCCTGCCTTGACCAAAATTACAAAAATTAACTTCGCGTGGTGGTGTGCGCCTGTAATCCCAGATACTTGGAAGGCCGAGGCAGGAGAATCGCTTGAACCTGGGAGGCAGAGGGTGCGGTTCAGCTAAGATTGCGCCACTGAACTCCAGCCTGGTGACAGAGGTAGACTCCGTCTCAACTTTACAATCTTTCTTTAACATAATCTGTGAAATGAACAACTCCTCTCTTTATAAGCCCACAGCCAATGTTCTAGAAACTTACAGCTCCCTGTCACTGATGTTGATTTTTTTTTTTGGTGGTGGGAGGAAACAGTTTCACTCTTTTCCAGACTGGAGTGCAATGGCGCAATCTTGACTCGGCGCAATCTTGACTCACCGCAACCTCTGCCTCCAAGGTACAAGTGATTATTCTGCCAAAGGCTCCCGAGTTGGGATTACAGGCGCCTGCCACCATGCCCAGTTAGTTTTTGTAGCAGAGATAGGGTTTCACCATATTGGCCGGGCTGGTCTTGAACTCCTTTGTGATCCACCTGCCTCACACTCCCAAAGTGCTGGGATTACAGGTATGAGCCATCACAGCTGGCCTGATGTTGACATTTAACTATCATTCCAACTGTTGATTTCTTCAAAGACTGGTTAATTAGATTGTGTGTAGATACTCACCCCCAAGTTTTCCAGAAGCAGCTGCATCACCTCGTCACAGAAAGGTATGATGTTGGATTGCAGGGCACGGCATAAGTCTCCCACTAAGCCCACAGCTGCCAAACAAACCTGCCAAGAATCAAGGATATAATCTTCAAACAGAAAGGCTGCCTGCTGGGGTAAGATATTACTTTTACCTAGCTGCTGGGCCTTTATCACTTGAACCTAAAGTCAAAGGAGAAAACATCTTCCCTCTGCCTAATTTTTTAACAACCAATACAGCAGGAAGTAGACAAAGACTATCTGAGAGATATTACTGACAAAAGTTTAAAAAAAAAAAAAAAAAAAAAAAAAGCCTTGCTCTCCAGGGTGCTGGTAACTTTATAGCTGCTCCTGCATCAGTACTGTCTAGGCAAATAGTCATCTTGTGAGCCTTTATCTGGTGCATCTAATAACTTGTTTTTCATGGACTACTTCCAGCTCAAATGCTCAGGCAATGAATAAAGCAGCTTGCCTTTTAGGACAATGTATAACAAAAAACTACCTAAGGTGTAAGAACCTGGTTTTATCTGCACTACAGTGGCTATCAGGTATAAATGAGAATATACTATTTTGAAAAGCATATCCTACCTGGTACTCAGCATAATTTTTTAATCCAATGCCCAGGAAGGGTTTAAAAGCCTCCATGTACTTGAGGAATTCACCTCCTAACACTGTAATGAAACAAACTATTAGTCAATGACAGCACCACAAGGTAACAGAGTAGGCCAAAATAACCCATCCTACCTCTCCCCAAATGTACTCATTCCACTCAACAGGTGAGGTGGAATGTGAGTCAGTTACCGATTTATCATGAAGACACTGAAGGCTTACATAAGCCACATTTATTATTGATGGAAAGGTCCTAATTCTTATGCCACAGAGACAATGCTAACTCTCCAAAGAATAGGGCTTTACTCCGGCGAATACAATAAAATGGTATGGACCTCAAGGAATGTTGAGGTTAATTTTAAATGGGCTGAACCAGCAATACTGCCTCTTGTCCACCCCCTCATCTGATAATAGCGTGTCCTTTCTGCAGGCCAGCTTCAAAGCAGGGTCCTTCGGCAATCCCATCAAGGGCTTAACAAGCCACGGTAAGGAAAAGTAGCAGTGGACTTCAGATCCAAACCAGCCACTCCAGGAGCCAAAATTAACTTCCTTGCCCTTTCAGAAGGGTGGTCAAATTTTGACAGAACAGTTGCACATAGACTGTTTATGCCAAAAATAGGTCTGGTCCTCAGGAGAGTGGTCCTTAGGTAAATGGCCTAAGTAATCTACTTATAAGCCACCCCTGAAGAGGCATTCCAGATTCTTTAAGTGCTTTGTAATGGCCCTTCAAAGAGTCTTAAGTCAGATATGGCTTCCCTAAAGCAATGTTGCAGTCACACATGAAAAATCAGAAAATCAATTCCTAGAATGTGCTCAGTGTTTCATTTCATCCCATACTAGGCACCATGGTGTGTCAATCTGAGCCCAAAGCATTACAACCCAAACCAGGTGATGGCAAGTACCAGGAAAGAAAATAGAAACTTTTGGCTGGGCACAGTGGCTCATGCCTATAATCCCAGCTACTCAGGAGGCGGAGGCAGGAGAATCGCTTGATCCTGGGAGGCGAAGGTTGTGGTAAGCTCATGCTACTGTACCCCAGCCAGGGCAACAGCAAAACTCCTTTTCAAACAAACAAAAAAACACTCAGCCAGTCTTAGCTGCAAACTGACTCCACATTTAAACAGACTGACGAGGCAGTAAGGCAGTTATACAAATTTACATTTAAGTTCAATCTAACTTTGAAGTGACTCATGCCACAGTAAAAGGATTATGCTTTCTGCAGTTAAAAATTCTTTAACGTCCTGGCATGGTGGCTCACATCTATAATTCTAGCACTTTGGGAGGCTGAGGCAGGAGCATCACTTGACTCAGGAGTTTGAGACCAGTGTGGGCAACACGGCAAAACCCCGTCTCTACCAAAAATATACAGATTAGTCAGGCATGGTGGTGTGCATCTGCAGGCTAAACTACGGGTGTGTCGGGGAGGGGGGTGAGGGTGGGGCTCAGGTGGAAGAATCACTTGAGCCCAGGATGTGGAGGCTGCAGTGTGCCAAGATCATGCTACTGCACTCCAGCCTGGGTGAAAATTATTTAAGGCCATTGAAATGCCTGCATTCTAAAGACTTTCCCTGACCAGACAGTATTTTTCACCGACCTTCCACCAGTGTGCTAACTGCCATCAGGGCATCCTCTTGTACTCCCCCAGACCCAGCTGTGCTTTGGAACATCCTTAACAGGGAGGCCATGACCACATCAGAGATCTGCAATGCATCTTGATGTTGCACTTTCCGAAGAACATTCTGTGAAATGAATAAGAGTTCGAGATCAGTTGATTCCAAATCTCCCAATCAGAATAGTACACCTTCTTTTTAAAAATCAATTAAGTCCTTTGATTTTTTTTCTCTTTTGCGAATGCCAAATGTACTTTTTATACTCAAAAAGTCTGACAATACCAATCATTAGCAATACTTTTTATTTTATTTTATTTTATTTTATTTTATTTTATTTTTTTTTTTGAGATGGAGTTTCGCTCTTGTTAACCCAGGCTGGAGTGCAATGGCATGATCTCGGCTCACCGCAACCTCCGCCTCCTGGGTTCAGGCAATTCTCCTGCCTCAGCCTCCTGAGTAGCTGGGATTACAAGCACACACCACCATGCCCAGCTAATTTTTTGTATTTTTAGTAGAGACGGGGTTTCACCATGTTGACCAGGCTGGTCTCGATCTCTTGACCTCGTGATCCACCCGCCTCGGCCTCCCAAAGTGCTGGGATTACAGGCTTGAGCCACCGCGCCCGGCTTACTTTTTTTTTTTTTGAGATGGAGTTTCACTTGTCGCCCAAGTTGGAGCGCAATGGCGCAATCTCGACTCACTGCAACCTCAGCCTCCTGGGTTCAAGCGATCCTCCTGCCTCAGTCTCCCAAGTAGCTGGGATTACAGGCGCACATCACCACACCTGGCTAATTTTTTGTATTTTTAAGAGAGACGAAGTTTCTCCATGTTGGTCAGGCTGGTCTCAAACTCCCGACCTCAGCTGATCTGCCCACCTCGGCCTCCCAAAGTGCTGGGATTACAGGCATGAGCCACTGCACCTGGCCCTCCCGCTGCTTTTTTTTTTTTTTTTTTTTAAAGACAAGAGTCTTGCTCTGTCGCCCAGGCCGGAGTGTAGTGGTGTTATCTTGGCTCACTGCAACCTCCACCTCCTGGGTTCAAGCAATTCTTGTGCCTCAGCCTCCCAAGTAGCTGGGATTATAGGCACACAACACAGTGTGTCCAGCTAATCTCAAACTCTTGACCTCAGGTGATCCACCCGCCTTGGCCTCCCAAAATGCTGGGAATACAGGGGTGAGCCACTGCGCCCAGCCAGCAATACATTTTAACATCTCCCAGTTTCTGAATTTCTCAATTCAGAACCAATGTGAGCTGATCCTCCATTGTGCAGAAGGTCATGTCCTCTGCATTTTTTATGTCTTACTGTCTGACAAATCCATGCTGGTAGCCTCCATAGTCTAGTCTTACTAGATAGTTAAATTACTTCAGCTTTAGAGAAAGCCCTGTTACCTTATAGCTCTTTTTCATAAAACAAACAAAAAGCAACCCTTCCTGTATCCTACCCATTTACAGATGGTCTAGAAATAATCTTGATAAAAATCAAACCAACTTGGCTTCTCTCAATTCAATATACATTCATCAAACATTCCTTCCTCTTGTTTCAACTAACGTCACTGACATTAGGTCAAACAGCAAATGTTTCAAAAGACGATGGTACAGCCGGGCGCGGTGGCTCAAGCCTGTAATCCCAGCACTTTGGGAGGCTGAGGCGGGTGGATCACGAGGTCAAGAGATCGAGACCATCCTGGTCAACATGGTGAAACCCCGTCTCTACTAAAGATACAAAAAAATTAGCTGGGCATGGTGGCACGTGCCTGTAATCCCAGCTACTCAGGAGGCTGAGGCAGGAGAATTGCTTGAACCCAGGAGGCGGAGGTTGTGGGGAGCCGAGATCGCGCCATTGCACTCCAGCCTGGGTAACGAGAGCGAAACTCCGTCTCAAAAAAAAAAAAAAAAAAAAAAAAAAAAAGACGATGGTACAAACTCAAGGCTTTATTTTTAGCCAACTGAACTATAGCTGGAAACCAAATCTGACTGAGCTAGGCTTGAATAACCTAATTAAAAACCAAGAGTTCTTTTGTTTTCCAAAATCAAAAAACAAACCATTCAAGCTGTCAACACAAATGAGCTATACAGCTGGGAGGAACCATCAAACATCAAGTAGTTTCCTTCTCTACACCGTGACATTAGTTGAAACAAGAGCAAAGAAGGGAGGTTTGATGAGTGTACACTGAGTTGGGAGAAGTCGAGTTGATTTGAGTTTATCAAGATTATATCTAGACCATCTGTAAATAAAGTAGGATTTGAATCTTTCTAGACAGTGAGGAAAGGCCGGTGGGAAATTTCTCTCCCAATCCATCAATCACAAACCAAAGTCTTCTGAGAACAGCTTCTGATCAGCATCATCTATACCATTTTTCAGTTCTGTGTATACATGAACTTGTCATACTGAGATATTAATTATCTTCCCTGGAGTTACTAAGAAATGATATGGCACCATCATACCTGAAGAGTTGCGCAGAGTAAAGACTGAAGGTCATTGAACTGGATTCTATCGGATGTGCTCTGGATATGTGACTACAAGGAAAAGAAGAAAACATACTCTATATAACCATTCAATAATCTTCCCTAATGCTAACACAGGAAAGTAAACAACAAACCCACAATATATATAACACATGTATGAGTAAACCATGACAAGCAATGCTAACATTAAGGTGTAATTTTTTCTTTAATAAGCTTCTTATCTTTCTGAGAAAATATATAAACACCAAAAAGACAGAACAGGCTGTAAAACAGACCTAGGTGTCTAAAGTAGACCTATGCGTCCAAACTACCGCTCTATGCCCACCCAGAGTCAGGGGCCTTCTTAGGTCTTACCTCCATCTGAAGCACCTGCTGCAGTCGCTCCATGATGACCAAAGTCGTTTTCTGGACAGCAGGGTAACAATCCTTGGCACTGTTTTTCACAATTTCCATCAGAGATTCATATGCAGAACTCCTCAGGTTGTTCTGGTGTCCATCAGGTCTGTAAAGAACACAGCAGAAATCTTAGAAAGGACAGAGAATAATATAGAGAATACAGACACTGTCTTGCCAAAAATAATAACTTAGAAACTGGTAGGACTGCAGACATGGTTTTGAGTTTGGAAACACAATATCTAAGAACCAAATCTTCAAGTCCTTTGAGCCAACAGTTACGTTCATTATGGTCTCCAGACAGTTAAAATTTAGAATGGCCCTTTAGGAAATGAGCTAAAATTACAGAGGGAAAAATGGTTTGAAATGGTAAAGAACCATGTTAACAATTTAGCAGGTTGTCTGAATAGCTATGAAGAAAATACCCCAATTTTCTTGGTCGGGCACAGGTGGCTCATACCAGTAATCCCAGCACTTAGGAGGCTGAGGTGGGCAGATCACCTGAGGTGTCAGGAGTTTGTGACCAGCCTGGCCAACATGGTGAAACCTCATCTCTACTGAAAGTATAAAAATTAGCTAGGCACATTGGTGAGCACTTGTAGTCCCAGCTATGTGGGAGGCTGAGGTATGAGAATCGCTTGAATCTGGGAGGTTGCAGTGAGCCAAGATCACGCCATTGCACTCCAGCCTGGGTGACAGGAGTGTGACTCTGTCTCAAAAAGTAAAGAAAAAAGAGAAAACATTTTGTGCTCAGCTCCCTTCTTTAGGTATAGCTGACATAAAGCATGAATCATTAAAGGTTGTCTCCAACTTATAAACCCCTTTAAACAACATTTCAAAAGTTTGTTTATAAGTCAACTGTATTTACCCCAAGTTCTTGATCCCATATAAAAATACGATAGTTGTCGGGGAGTGGTGGCTCATGCCTGTAATCCCAGCACTTTGGAAGGCCAAGGCGGGTGGATCACGAGGTCAGGAGATGGAGACAATTCTGGCCAACATGGTGAAACCCCGTCTCTACTAAAAATACAAAAATTAGCTGGGCGTGGTGGTGTGTGCCTGTAGTCCCAGCTACTTAGGAGAATGAGGCAGGAGAATCGCTTGAACCTGGGAGGCAGAGGTTGCAGTCAGCTGAGATCGCACCACTGCAATCTAGCCTGGGCGACAGAGAGAGACACTCCGTCTCAAAAAAAAAAAAAAAAAAAATCAAACAAACAAAAAAGGAAGTCAATGATTTGGTGTGGCAATCAAATTAATAATGAGTGCTATCATTTCTCTTACAACAAAATACTCTTGTTAACTGTCAACACTGCAAAATGACGTAACCTCTCTAGATCAATTACTCTTTAAAAAGAAAGTAGATAAATTATACTATTTTTAGATTTCAGCTGTAAACGGAACAATTCTAAGGTAGGCAGAATCTGTATTTCTTTCTCTATCTTTAAACAAACCAATCAATCAATCATGGGATTCTTATATTTTTTGAGACGAAGTTTCACTCTTGTTGCCCAGGCTGGAGTGCAATGGCGCAATCTCAGCTCTCTGCAACCTCCACTTCCGCTTTCCAGGTTCAAGCAATTTTCCTGCTTCACCCTTCCGAGTAGCTGGGATTACAGGCATGCGCACCACGCTTCGCTAATTGACAGTCTCACTCTGTCCCACAGGTTGGAGTGCAAGGGCGCCATCTCGGCTCACTGCAACCTCTGCCTCATGGGTTCAAGCGCCCGCCACCATGCCCAGCTAATTTTTGTATTTTTTAGTAGAGACGGGGTTTTACCATATTGGCCAGGCTGGTCTCAAACTCCTGACCTCAGGTGATCCACCTGCGCTGGCCTCCCAAAGTGCCGGGATTACAAGCGTGAGCCATCATGCCTGGCAGGATTCTTTTAATTCCTCTAGAGAAGGTAGAGTCTTGTCCTTTCTCACTATACTTCTATGATTAAGCTAGATATCCTCCACACAGAAGGCAACAGAACTTGGATGCAAAGATGTCCCTCATTTTTTTTTTTTTTTTTTGAGACGGAGTTTCGCTCTTGTTACCCAGGCTGGAGTGCAATGGCACGATCTTGGCTCACCGCAACCTCCACCTCCTGGGTTCTGGCAATTCTCCTGCCTCAGCCTCCCGAGTAGCTGGGATTACAGGCATGTGCCACCATGCCCAGCTAAAGATGTCCCTCATTTTTGTGGAATATCAGTTACCTGTCTGTAGTCTCTAGGAGCTTCTGAACTATGAGTTCAAATGAAGAAGATAAACAGTAAGTAGCTGGTTCTTCCTGATCATCAGCAACATCTGCAGCTTCATAAGCAGCTTCAGCCAGACTCGAGAAAGCCTGAAATGCAGGTAAGTTTAATGTTAGTTCTGAAATAACCCCACATCTTAGGATTACCTCATTTTTCATTAGGCCATTTTCGGGCTGTCAGTGAACCTCCAGTTTTTTTTTTTTTTCAAGGTCAACCTTTTAGTTATCTTTTACATTGACTATTTATTTGATTTGTACTTTCTGTTCACCCTGTCTTGATAATCTGACAACTCTCTAAGCAGCAGAGTATTTTCAGCAACAACTGCCGTTTCATTTCTTATGTTTTCAATCACAAAAATCCTGTCTGATAATCTGACAACTCTCTAAGCAGCAGAGTACTTTCAGCAATACCTGCCGTTTCATTTAGTCTGTTTCCATTCACAGAAAGACTCTGAGCCCCATTCCTTCCTTATTTGAACCTCCTCTGCTTAACAAATTACATTAGGCCATACTGACTCAGCATTTAGGCTACCTACCTTCCTTCCCTCTTGCTCTCTTCTCAGCAATTACAGTTCTTGTAGCCAACAACTCTCTACCTTAATCAAAACTTTTTGTCCCCAAGTAATTTAAGAAAGCAAGCCAAGTCCAGATAGTTTCCCCACTGGGTTACCATGGCTGTTCTAAGTGGTTCAGGAACCAGTAACCATGAGTCAACTGCTCCCACTGGCTCTTGCAGTTGGAATCTCCCCCACATTTTAACCGAATAAATAAGAAAGAAAACGCTATTCAGAAAAAGCCTTCCAGTGAGGCAGATCCATTTCTCTCCCACACCTTCTACTTTCTTGCCAATGGTGCAGGCAAGCGCCTTTTCTCACCAGGAACAAAATCCCTTACCCAGCACACATTTGAAGCCACTCTGGGTTCAGCACTGAGGCCCTCAATCAGACACTGCAGCAGGGGAGCCAAATAGACATCATTGATGGCAGCTTCAGGGAGCAGCTCACAAATTCTGCCTACGGTCCATGCAGCTGTATCTCGAACAACTACACTGGGGTCTTTCATTAATTCTATTAGGGTGGGCATAGCCTGAAAAAATAACGATTATTAGCAAAGTAAAACAAAAATTAAAATTCATGCTACCTTCTACCTCAGAAAAAGAAATACTAATTGATGGGTTAACTCAAAAAAGTCACCAAGATCCGTTCGTAATTTTACAAGAGATGGTATCAAACACCTTTCAAAATATTTGAAAATAACTTTCAAAACTCCAGTTCAGAATTTTATATTCAGAATTAGGTGTAAATGCTTTCAGTAGTCTGCAATGAATTATTCAGATAGACGGCCAGCCATGATGGCTCATGCCTTTAATCCTAGCACTTTGGGAGGTCAAGGCAGGCAGATCACTTGAGGTTAGGAGTTCGAAACCAGTTTGGCCAACATGATGAAACCCTGTCTCTACTAAAAATACAAAAATTAGCCAGGCGTGGTGATGGGTGCCTGTAGTCCCAGCTACTCAGGAGGCTGAAACAGGAGAATTGTTTGAACCCAAGAGGCAGAGGTTGCAGTGAGCCAAGATTGCAGCATTGTACTCCAGCCTGGGTAAGTGAGACTCCATAACAAAAAAGAATTACTCAAAATTCCCAGGATACAGTTATGAAGGCATCTGGCTATATCCAGAAAGACTGAATGCCTTAAGCACTAAACTCAAGTACAATAAACTCTTTTTTTATTCCTTGAGACGGAGTTTCACTCGTTACCCAGGCTGGAGTGCAATGGCATGATTTATAATAGCAAAACAAGCCTAATGTTTTGATAAGGACATTTTCATTACATAAATGCCATTTTGTCCAACTAACAGATTAATAATGCTATTATTAAAAATTACGGGGAATCAGTGCTAGGTGCAAAAAAAATTATCGGGAAATGTTTACAACATAGTAATTAAGTGAAAAAACAAGTTGTAAAACAATCTGCACAGGAAGATCCTGTTGCACACACGTGCACACAGGAAAAAGCTGCAAGGATAAATACAGAGTTAAGATTGGTATTTCTGGGCAATGAAATTAAAAGTGACTTTTATTTTTTGGCATTTTTCAAAAGTCTCTGGATCATGCTGCCTTACGTAATTAAAAACCTGAGAAATATTTTTTACCTTTACTGAAAGGAAACAGCTATCTAGAAATAACCTTTGTAGATGACAATTTACAGTTTTGTTTTGAAAAATAAAGATATGCAAGTTTAAATATTAAATATCCTACTTTCCACTCCAAAAATCCCTTAGCTTCACCTGTATAACTAGTGGTTTGAGCTGACTGGGCTCTGGTCCTTCCAAGATACAACCAAAAGCCATCACTGCTGCATCCCGGTACCGCCAATCTGGGTTCTTGATGTGTTCTTTAATGAAAGGGAGGACATGTGGGACAATGTCATCTTCACAGCAGGTAGCCAAAAGCATGAGGCACACCCCTGCTGCTTTGCAGGGGTTCCAATCATCATCATCGTCATTTTCGTCCTGGTGAAAGAATATGGCACTAGTTAAGATTTTGTCCAAAGAATCATTTAAACTCTAAAGGTCCTCTGACTACTCTCGAACATTTTCAGAACTGAAACTTCAGGGAAGAAATATAAGACCTTTATATTTTATCTCTTCCACAAACATCACAGCATAGCCTTTGTTAAACAAGAGTCAGATGGAAGAAGATTCCATTTAGTACCACACAACAAGAATGAAAAAATTTCAACTACATGCAAAACATTTAGAATAAAATGCAAAACGAGTGTATGCTGCATGAAGTCCAAAATCGGTCAGATGTGGCGGCCCACACCTATAATCCCAGCACTTTGGGAGGTCAAGGTGATCACCTGAGGTCAGGAGTTTGAGACCAGCCTGTCCAACATTTTTAGAAGAAACCCCGTCTCTTCTAAAAATATAAAAATTGGCCAGGTGTGGTGGCATGTGCCTGTAGTCCCAGCTATTCAGGAGGCCAAGGCAGGAGAATTGCTTGAACTTGGAAGGCAGAGGTTGCAGTGAGCAGAGATTGGCCGCTGCACTCCAGCCTGTGGGACAGAGTGAGACTCTCTCTCAGAAAAGTCCAAAATTAACAAAAATTAATCTATGGGGTAAAAGGCCAGGAAAGTGAGGGGGTTCATGATTGGGAAGAAGACATGTTTCAATCAAAAGTTCAAAAATCAGGCGAGGCACAGTGGCTCACACCTGTAATCCCAGCACTTTGGGAGGCCGAAGCAGACAGATCACTTGAGTTCAGGAGTTTAAGACCAGCCTGGGCAACATGGTAAAACCTCATCTCTACTAAAAATACAAAAATTAGTTGGGCATAGGGGCACACACCTGTTAAGCCCAGCTACTTGGGAGGCTGAGGCAAGAGAATCGCTTAAACCTGGGAGATGATGGTTGCAGTGAGCCATGACTGAACCACTGCACTCCAGCCTGGGTGACAGAGCAAGACTCTGTTTCCCCCACCGAAAAAAACAAAATACAAAAAACAAAGACAAGTAAGAAAGTTCAAAGAAGAGAGATTCTACTAATATCTCCCCCTTAAGTTAGAATCCAAGGTATAGCTTCCTAACTGTGGCCATTTATACCACATAGTAATTTAAGGCAGGTTGTCTATGCAGTTTCAGAAACCATCAAAGAACAATTTGTTCTCAAACAAGAAAAGCACAATAAAAATATACAAAAGTAGCCGGGCACGGTGGCTCAAGCCTGTAATCCCAGCACTTTGGGAGGCTGAGGCGGGTGGATCATGAGGTCAGGAGATCGAGACCATCCTGGTCAACACGGGTGAAACCCCGTCTCTACTAAAAATACAAAAAATTAGCTGGGCATGGTGGCACGTGCCTGTAATCCCAGCTACTCAGGGGGCTGAGGCAGGAGAATTGCCTGAACCCAGGAGGCGGAGGTTGCGGTGAGCCGAGATCGCGCCATTGCACTCCAGCCTGGGTAACAAGAGCGAAACTCCGTCTCAAAAAAAAAAAAAAAAAAAAAAAATATATATATATATATATATATACACACACAAAAGTAAAACTACTAAGTCAAAAGATTAAAAATAACAACTATAGGCCAGGCACACTGGCTCACGACTCTAATCCCAGCACTTTGGGAGGCCAAGGCAGGCGGATCACCTGATGTCAGGGGTTCAAGACCAGCCTGGCCAACAAGGTGAAACCCTGTCTCTGCTAGAAATACAAAAATTAGCCGGGCATGGTGGTGTGCAACTTCCAGCTACTTGGGAGGCTGATGTGGGAGGATCACTTAAACCCAGGAGGCGGAGATTGCAAGGAGCTGAGATTGTGCTATTGCACTCCAGCCTGGGTGACAAGAGTTAAGACTCCATCTCGGCCGGGCGCGGTGGCTCAAGCCTGTAATCCCAGCACTTTGGGAGGCCGAGGTGGGTGGATCACGAGGTCAAGAGATCGAGACCATCCTGGTCAACATGGTGAAACCCCGTCTCTACTAAAAATACAAAAAATTAGCTGGGCTTGGTGGTGTGTGCCTGTAATCCCAGCTACTCAGGAGGCTGAGGCAGGAGAATTGCCTGAACCCAGGAGGCGGAGGTTGCGGTGAGCCGAGATCGCGCCATTGCACTCCAGCCTGGGTAACAAGAGCGAAACTCCGTCTCAAAAAAAAAAAAAAAAGACTCCATCTCAAAAAAACAAAACAAAAAAACAAACCAAACAAACAAAACCTGAGAGATATAAAATTTAAGGGAACACCCAGTACATTCATTTCAATCCAAGCACATCTATACTTGGCTTTTGAAACTGCTATATTGAGAATCATACACATCCCTAAAAACAATTATATTCCTGTGTACAAAGAAATGTTGCAGTGCTCAGTTACCAGCATTGCTTCCTCAGAGTACTAGCAGCTCTTTGGTAATACTCCCAAACTCACCAGATCAAAAAAGACTCTGATGCATAAAGTCAGGAGAACCAAAGCAACCAGGACACAGTTCTTACAGAAGAACTAGTATATTTACTCATTAGACCTCTATCTTTATGAAGTTTTGTCACTTTAATTTCATCCTGAATCTTAATAATTGATGTTAATGATCTTAAAGGATCAGCAGAAGAGTTTCTTTCATGAATTGGGTCCTTCATTCAGATCTGAATAAGTCACATCCAACCTCCTTAGCATTTTAAAAACATATACCCTGTGAACTCACAAAAGTATCCTAGATATTAGAACAGATACACAAGTGGCCTAAAACTAGCACATCTTTGCTCCCAACCTTGTTTCACTGAAGCTTTGATAGAGCACCTTTCTTCTGTGAGTTTGGACAATGGAGCACTCAGGAAGTCAGAGCAGCATGTGGCTCGCTCCTGAGCAAGACGCATCTGAGCTGTTAAGACCCAGTTCTCCTTCACAAACAAGTCAGAGCCTAGGGGATCTTATAGATCCAGATTAGCTGTTCCTGAGTCATCTACAACAGAACATCAAATAGTTGATGGGTTGCCAAGTTCCTTCCATGGAAACTGTTCCACAGCAAACAGTTTACTCTTAGTAAGGTTTCCCAGTTTACCTACCTAGATTTGGAAGGTAACTCACCTGTTTAGTTAGTGTCTGTGTGAGGATTGGAACCAGATACTGCAGTGCTCCCTTGGCATAAAACTTGCTGGTGTGCTCAGGGGGCCGTCCTTGTTCTGCTGCCTGAGGAGAAGCAAAGCAAATTCTAGACAAAAGCAACCAAGCTGCATATACTAAAGGCATGCAATGAGAGCTGACTGGGGATCTTTTAACAGAAACATACAGGGACAAATGGTAACATACAGTGTGATCTTGGAAGGTACTCTTTTTTTGGTCTACTTCAATGAGAATCTTTTAGGCCATACATTATAGGTCAAAGGCAACATTACGTATAATTTTTTTTAATAAGTTCAATTCGTATTAACAATCTGATAGATCTAAGTGTTCCTTGGATCAACAGATGGACCCAGTTTGCCTAAGGATGCCAAAAATAAAACCTTTTTTGTTCTGAAATAAAAGTGTGTAAAGACAAAGTTGGAAACAAAACTTGAATTCAAAGATTCCAATTACAGAACTCCTCCTTCTCCCTCGTATCATCTGACTCCTTCACCAGAGTTAGTAAACTACCAATTATACATCGCAGGCTTGCATTAGGACTTCCAAAAGGAAATAATTCAGCATCAGGCATCCTCTTGGTAAACTGCGACAGCCTGCTGCCCCCTTGTGTTCACAGCACTAATACCACCGTTTACCATCAAGCATGCATGATGGCTTGGCAAAAATGAGAGATTTCCCTCATTACTGATTTGCCTCCTTCATGAAGGGCTCTGCCTAGCAGAAAAATCAAAACCTCTGTCAATGGAGATACCCTCTAAGCCCAGACAGAATAAAGTTCTCCTAGAAGGGAAATACCATCCACAAATGAGGTATGTTCCAAAGTCTAGTCAGAATAATAGCCCCAGCTCACCTCTGAAGCCTCAATGGCCAAATCCATTTCCTCATCACAGACATTGGACCAGAATTCTATCCCTTGTAGGGCCACTTCATCAATGTCACTTTTCATTGCTTCAATTGTGATCTAAAACAAAACAAAAAACACCCCAGGCTCCAAATAAGTACTGATTCAAGTGAGCCCCTGCTCCCAACCTGGCTTTCACAGACATGCAAATTATTTAAGAAATTTAACTTATAAAAAGCAAGCTATGCTTGGAAAAAAGGATAGAAAAGGGAAGCTCTTTCTTTTTTTTTGGAGATGGGGTCTCACTCTGTCACCCAGGCTGGAGTACAGTAGCACAATCTCAGCTCACTGCAACCTCCACCTCTCAGGCTCAAGCAAACCTCCCACCTCAGTCTCCTTAGTAGGTGGGACCACAGGTGCATGCTACCTTACCCAGGTAATTTTTGTATTTTTTTTGTAGAGATGAGGTTTCACCATGTTGCCCAGGCTGGTCTTGAACTCCTGGACTCAAGCAATCCATCAGTTTCAGCCTCCTAAAGTGCTGGGATTACAGGCGTGAGCCACCATGCCCAGACTGAGATTTTCAAAATGCAGGTCTTTTTTTTTTGTTGTTTGAGACGAAATCTTGATCTGTGGCCCAGGTTGGAGTGCAGTGGTGCAATCTTGGCTCCCTGCAACTTCCACCTCCCAGGTTCAAGCAATTCTCCAGCCTCAGCCTTCTGAGTAGCTGGGATTACAGGTGTGTGTCACCACACTCGGCTAATTTTTGTATTTTCAGTAGAGACAGGGTTTCACCATGTCAGCTAGGCTGGTCTCGAACTCCTGACCTCAGGTGATCCGCCCACCTCAGCCTCCCAAAGTGCTAGGATTACAGGTGTGAGCCACCGCACCCGGCCTCAAAATGGTCTTTTACGCACGCAAAGCTAGCACCAGTTTTCTTGGCAGACTACTGATAAGTTTCAATCTAACAGTCTCAAGGAATTTCCTCGATTCCATAATATTAAGAAAAATATTATAGAACTGGTAAAACAGCAACTAAGAATGATGGGCTCTATAATTAGCTATAAGCTCAAATTACATAAAGAGAAATACTTACTGCAAAAAGAGCAGGACCCATATATGTCTCCATGTACTGATAATATAAGGACATTATCTTCACCAGATTCTGTAAAGCAGCCACTCGTACCTTTTATGAAGAGCAGATCAGATAATTTACTAAGATAGCAATGAAATATAACAAAGGTAGATTCACTCAAATGGGCAAATAATCCTAAGGATTAATTGAGGTAAATATGGGATACATTATCATTTGCCTAAAGCTCACTCTCTCCCTTCAATTCTCTCATTATCCGTTCCCATTTTCACATTTCTTTTCTTTTTTCTTTTTTTTTTTTTTTTTTTGAGAGTCTTGCTCTGTTGCTCAGGCTGGAGTGCAGTGGTGTGATCTTGGCTCTCTGCAATCTCCGCCTCCCGGGTTCAAGCGATTCTCCTGCCTCAGCCTCCTGAGTAGGTGGGATTACAGGCGCGTGCTACCACTCCTGGCTAATTTTTGTATTTTTAGTAGAGACGCAGTTTCAACATGTAGCCCAGGTTCGTCTCAAACTCCTGAGCTCAGTAAATCCACCTGCCTCAGCCTTCTAAAAAGTGCTAGGATTGCAGGCATGAACCACCGCGCCTGGCCATTTTTCTCTTTTTTAAGACACTTTTCTGGCTCTGTTGCCCAGGTGCGAGTATAGTGGCCACAATCACAGCTCACCACAGCCTCAACTGCCAGGGTCAAACAATCCCCCCACTACAGGTGTGCCCCATCACACACAGCTAATTTTTGTGGACACGGAGTTTCGCCATGTTGCCCAGGCTGGTCTCGAACTCCTGGGCTCAAGTGATCCTCTGACCTCGGTATCCCAAAGTGCTGGGATTACAGGTGTGAGCCACCACACTCAGTCCTCTTTTTCTTTTTTTGAGATGGAATCTCACTGTCGCCCAGGCTGGAGTACAGTGGCGTGATCTCGGCTCATTGCAACCCCCGCCTCCCGGGTTCAAGCAATTCTCCTGCATCAGCCTCCCCAGTAGCTGGGATTCCAGGCATGTGCCTGTAAAGTGTTGAGATTATAGGCCTAAACTGCACCTGGCCTCAGTCCTTTTTTTCTCTTCTTCTTCTTTTTGCATTAAAGGTGCACAAGGAACTCATGGCAGGGCTAAATTCACTAATACTCTTCAGACTGAAGATGTTACTTCTACCTTCTTGAAGGGCCAGGTTTCAGTTATAGCAATAGCAAAGTTAATGGCTTCAGTGGAAAACAATCACTTGAATAACCTATGGCAATTAAGTAGCGAAGCCGATCAAAAACCTTTTCTCTCTTAACAGTTTGTATATGTATATTTTTAGTAGAGACGGCTTGAATAACCTATGGCAATAAAGTAGCTAAGCCAATCAAAAGCCTTTTCTCCCTTAATTGTTTATTTATGTAGATATAAGTTTTAGTAGAGATGGTGTCACTATGTTGCCCAGGCTGGTCTCCAACTCCTGACCTAAGTGATCCTTCGGCTTTGGCCTCCCAAATTGCTGGTATTATATCGTGTAAGCCACCATATCTGGCCCCTTAAACCTTTTTTTAAGAGGATGGCAACTTCCATTACAATTCTTCCCTCTTCTCCAATCTTTTTATTAATAACATTATTCTTATTTAAGTCTCACTGTTTGCATGATCTCAGCTCACTGCAACTTCCGCCTCTCGGGTTCAAGTGCTTCTTGTGCCTTGGCCTCCCCAGTAGCTGGGACTATAGGAATATGCCACCAAACCTGACTAATTTTTGTATTTTAAGTAGAGACAGGTTTTCACCGTGTTGGTCAGACTGGTCTGAAACTTCTGACCTCAGGTAATCTGCCTGTCGCTGCCTCACAAAGTACTGGGATTACAGGTGTGAGCCACCATGCCCAGACAGAATATTAATTATTAATAACAGTATCAATCAAACCTTAATTGCTGAAGTCAATTGATACCCAATATTTCAAACTTATATTAGATTTGACACTTCCTAAGGAAGATATGAGACCTATTTTTCACATTAACTTCACACTTACTCTCGTATCTGGACACTGTGTGGCTTCACAGACCACCTGCATAATAAAGTGCCTTTCAGACTGTAGGAAGAATAAAAATAAAGAGAATTAGGAGAGCATAACCTGTACATAGGAAGATTTCCAGACTCCTTCTACAAGGAAAACCTCTCACTCCCTCAGGGCCCCACACAGTCCTGCTTGGTACAGTCAAGTCACTCTGCTTTGAGATGGTATGGCACTATAAAAGCCAGAGTTTACCTTCAGTGTCTGCTATATGACCTGCCCTCCAATAAGGTCCCTAATCGTTTAATCTCCAAAATAACCTTCACTAACAGACTTCAGGGAGGAAACAGGAAAATCTAGGTCACAAGGTTTAAACAAAAATGGTTGGCTAAAAGATAAAAATCTACATGTAGGAAAATCAATTTCCTTATAGTTAAAATATAAGAGAATTCAAAACATCTGAATTCAAAGACCAAATTTGTTTTCTGAGAGGTAGCAAATTCACATCAAATGTGGTGAGAAGAGAAAAGGGAGGACAGAATAATGACATTTATGTGCTACCCTCCTAAATCTTTAAGTCCTCTAAAATCTTTAAGGAAAAATCCAGTTTTCTAATCAATTAGAACTGCCATTTCCTCTGGGGTTTGAGATCTTTCCAAAGTCAAAAAGTGGTAAAAAGTCAGCTAAAGTGTCAACAAACATATATACAGAAATACTTTCAGACCATGAACCCAGAAATTTTACTTGTAGGTATTTATCCAAAAGGACAGAGAGCAGAGTCTCAAAGATACACATGCATACCCATATTCATACCAGCATTACCCACAATAGCCAAAAGGTGGAAGCCAGCCAAATGTCCATAGACGGATGACTAAACAAAATGTGGCATATACATACAATGGAATATTATTCACCCTTAAAAAGCAAATTTTGACAAATGGTACCCCATAGCTGAACCTTGAGCACATCATACTAAGTAAAACAAACCAGTCCCAAAAAGACAAACACTATATGATTCCATTTACATAAGGTATTTCATTATAGTAGTAAAATACAAAGAAACAGAAAGTAAAATCATGGTTACCAGTGACTGAGAAAGGGGAAAAAGAGGAGCTGTTGTTCAGTATGTACAGTTTCAGTTTTGCAAGATGAAAAAGTTCTGGAGATTGTTTCTACAGCAACTGTGAATCTACTTAACTGTATATTTAAAAATGATTAAGATGGCAAATTTTATGTCATGCATTGCATTTTCAGCCAAAACGTTTACATATATCTCTTTATATATTTTATTTTTTTGAGATAGTCTTGCTCTGTTGCCCAGGCTGGAGTACAGCGGTGCAATCTTGCAGCCTTGAACTCTGGGCTCAAGAGATCCCCACCTCAGCTTCCCAAATAGCTGGGATTACAGGCATGTGCCAGAACACCCGGCTATATGTTACTATAATTATTTCCTTTTTCTTTTTTTTTTCATTATAAGCCCTGTAAACAAAGAGTTCACAAAATAGGTTAAAAACTCAGTTGTTCCTCTCCACAGGAATCTTTATTTTTTAGAGACAGGGTCTTATTACATTGCCCAGGCTAGTCTCAAACTCCTGGTTTCAAGTGGCCCTCTTGCCTTGGTGGCCCAATGTGTTGGGATTATGGATGTGAGCCCTGGCACTCAGCCTCCACAAAACCTTTAATAAAAGGCAGAAAATTCATGCAATTTTAAAAGAAAATAAAGTATACAGGATATACCATAATTTATATTTGCTTTTTTTTTTTTTTTTTGAGATGGTATATGACTTTGTTGTCCAGGCTGGCCTGAACAACTGGCCTCAAGCAATCCTCCTGCCTCAGCCTCTGAAGTAACTGGGACTACAAATATGAAAAAAAAACCAACAACATTCCACATTTTGGACTGCAAAAGGGAAAACCTAAGCTAAGAAATACTTTATTTACAAAAGCATGATGGGAAATGGCAAAGACTCCATGGCCTTATCTCACACAATACAAATTTGACTAAACTGGAAACAAAACACTTTTAAGAAGGGCGGTGCTTTCGAAATCATAAACTTAAGAAAACAAAACAAAAAACTTGCATTTAACTCTTTCATTTCTTAGTATCTGAATCTACACCTCTTTGTCAAAAAAACTTACCTCTTTATCAAAATTTGCTTTGGTGAACTCCAATGAGTTCAGGAGTGCATTAGTAGCAGCTAGCTTCACATTATTACTAGGCTCTTCTTTCCTCATCCCCTGGATTATGGCAGTCAAAATCTCATTGGATTTATCTTGTAGCTGCTCTGGGTCCTGTAACAAGCAGAGAAGTACAATGAATATACAGTTGGCCCTCTGCAGCCATAGGTTCTACATTTGTGGACTCAAGCAACTATGGATTCAAAATATTCAGAGGAAAAAAAATGGAGTTACATTTGTACTGCATCAAAAGGTGCACATTCACCTTTATTTTCTGGCATCATTCCCTTAATACAGTGTACCAACTATTAATATAGCATTTACATTAAATTAGGTATTTTAAGTATTCTAGAGCTGATTTAAAGTATATGGGAGGATGTGCATAGGTTATATGCAAATATTACACCTTCTATGTAACAGATTTGAACATCTGAGGATTTTGGTATTCTTGGAATCAATCCCTTCCAGAGGACTGCCATAAGGAGCTCAAGCAGTCTTTTCCTCTTCTTAAGAGACAGTGTCTCACTACGTTGCCCAGCCTGAAGTGCAGTGGCTATTCACAGGCACTATCACAGTGCACTGTGCCCTCAAATTCCTGGGTTCAAGCAATACTTCCACCTCAGCTTCCCAAGTAGCTGGGACTACAGATATATGCTACTGTGCCTGGCTTAATCGGCAGTACTTTTAACTGTAAAATTCACTCAAGAAAGTATCATGACTTGGTGGTCTTTCCCCACCCATTTCCATTTGGGAATAGCACTGCAAACCACCTGCAAAGTATCCCATGGTATTGGCAGTTCAAAACTGAACAGAAACAAGTCAAACTCATTAACTTCATCTTTGACTTCTTAGCATAATGACTGTGGATATGAGGTAATACTAGCTTTTTTTCCCCATGTGCAAATGAAGATGGCAGCCTGGTGGCTGCCAGGCCATGTGTACGCTCAAGTAAAGCTTCAGGACATTTAAGGACCAAGGATCAACACCTGGGCACATCTAGGGAGCCTAAGTCCAGGTCAAATGCTGTGTACTCCTTTGCTTCATAAAGTACACACACACACACACACACACACACACACACACACACACAAATAGACACCACAGGTGGTGGTGCTTCTCATCAGGAACAACAGTGCTAGGAGGGCTGCGTCTGTGTCTCCAGTGGCTAAACCAACTACATCAAGAGTTGGCAAAACTTTCTGTAAAGTAGTAAATGAAAATGCACCACAACATTCACGGTACATGCAGGATCTTAAGAAAAAGGATTGGGTTAGGGATGTTCCAAATGAGAATCTCCTCATTTTGTATGTCTAGAATCTAACCTTCTTCAAACATGGACTTCCATTTTGAGTTTGTAGTCCTCAGGTTTCTTTACTTTAGGGCATGATTAGCAATGTGAAGACAGAGGCCTAAAGGAAATAAATCAGTCTTACTTTCAAAACATTGTGCAGTTTAAACTGGCTTTCTTCGTTGTTCAATAAGGTAATACTAACATCATTCACGTCACAGCTAGAGGCAATCAGAGATATATAAACCAGGTAAATTAGGCAAGCACTTACTATATCTTGGCAAATATAACCGATAGCTTCCAATGTCGACTCCTTCATGTGCTCTGTGCTGTTGGGGTTTGTGACATTGGCCACCAGCTGAGGAATGAGTTCTGGCCACTGGTTTACTGGGATCTCTGCACAAGCAATACCAGCCACACACTGTGAGGCAGAACTAGGCCGGTAAGTTTCTGTGCCCAATGTCTGCAAAACCTGCACCAAAGAAGACAAAAGATACATATTTCTAACATTATTTGACCACATTTTGCCCACCACCATATTTAGTGTCTCTGATTTTTTTTTTTTTTTTCTTAAGACAGGGTCTCACTCTGCTGCCCAGACTGGAGAGCAGTGGCATGATCACAGCTCACTGCAGTCTCAACCTCTACTGCACAATCTACCCTCCTGCCTTAGCCTCCTGAGTAGCTGGGACTAAAGGGGTGGGCATGCTGACACACCCAGTTATTTTTTTGTAGAGACAGGGCATCACCATATTGCCCAGGCTCCTTAGAAAAAAAAAAAGGAGGCCGGGCGCGGTGGCTCAAGCCTGTAATCCCAGCACTTTGGGAGGCCGAGGTGGGTGGATCACGAGGTCAAGAGATCGAGACCATCCTGGTCAACATGGTGAAACCCCGTCTCTACTAAAAATACAAAAAATTAGATGGGCATGGTGGCATGTGCCTGTAATCCCAGCTACTCAGGAGGCTGAGGCAGGAGAATTGCCTGAACCCAGGAGGCGGAGGTTGCGGTGAGCCGAGATCGCGCCATTGCACTCCAGCCTGGGCAACAAGAGCGAAACTCCGTCTCAAAAAAAAAAAAAAAAAGAAAAAGAAAAAAAAAAGGAAAGGAAAAAACAAGGTCTCACTGTGTTGTCCAGAGTGGAGTGTAATGGCACAATGATACTGCAGCCTCGCTCTCCCAGGCCTTCCAAGAGTAGCTTAGACTACAGGCACACACCACCGTACCCAGCCAACACTTTTGATCTTCAGTAGAGATGGGGGTCTCCCTATGTTGCCCAGGCTGGTCTCAAATCCCTGGCCTCCCAAAGTGCTAGGATTACAGGTGTGAGCCACTGTACACAGGCAGTGTCTTAGAATTCTTCTCTATGATATCAAGAAGTAGAGAAGGCTGTCAGAAAAAAATCAGCCCCAGTAGCAACATTAGCACAATCAACACTGCCCCAGAATCTAGAAACAAAACCAATCATCCCCGGCTTCCAAAAGGAATTCTCCAAAACTACACAGCTCACACTTTAGCCTTCAACACGAGGTGGGAAACCAGCAGTTACAAGGGGAGGTAGCAGTAAATGGCAAAGGAGAGAGATGGGCACACAAAACTCATCTTCCAGGCTCATTGTTGGTGGTATAAGAAAAGGATGTTCACAACCTTGTTTTGTGGCCAGACATGGACACTAGAATGAAGCTAGTTATGGGGTATTCAGGTGGGTCTCATTCACAGATCACTCTCTAACCTGATCCAAGGAGGAGATCTCACTCATGAGACATGGGTTGAAAAAAAACTTTTTCCTTCTCATCACTGACAACCCAGCACTCTGGGTGACTTCCATAGAAAGGCCTTGGTCAAGTAACGGCATCACTGAACACAAAAACAAAGGTGCTGATGATAACAACACCTACGAACTAATCTTTATTTAACTTCCAATCTGAAAGGATTTGTTCTGTTTGTCCAAGAATCAAAGAACTATTCTCTACCACTGACAGATACCAAAAACTAGCCAGATGTCAAAAGAAGATCCACTTGTCATTAAACATCTCTCACTTGACGCAGTACCACACCAGCATTTATGTAAAGGGTAAAGGCACAGGTATGATAAAAGATGAAGCCACAATTAACCTAGAGTTAATCATTACAACGCTCAGCTAATTCAGTCAATGAACTCACTAAGAATCACCAATCCACTCAAAGGCAAACAGTTAACTAACTGTTCCTGGCATGAACACAGGACAAAGAATAGCTGCCAGACATTCAGGCCAGCTCTGCTGACTGGGTCGGGTCACTTAGTATCCTGCTTTGCAGCTAGGACTAATAATGAACTCCCCCCTTTTCCTTCTTATATGGTATATATCATCATACCTGGCCCCCACTCCCATTAGCTCTACCAACAACAAACAGTGCTGATTGATTCTAAATGAAATCAGAAATCTCAAGGACTAGCAGAGCTAGAATGGACAAAAACTGTATGTCAAAGACATGAAGGAACAAGGGGAAAAATCAAGGTTAATTGTCCAAAATGTCAGGGGCTGAATGGTACTATTAACCTAAGTCCAAGGTACCTTCACACCACACTTCACCATCTTGTAGTACATATGTGGAGCGTACTGAATCCCATTCTAACTTTACCTTTCTTCTTTGGATTGCTTTCTGAAGACTCTATACTACTTGAGGTAATTTAGAAGCTACAGATTTCCAACTCCTGAGTACTAAAAGTTTTCCGTTTAAACTAGAGGTAACTTTAATAGTAATATTCAATCATCAGAATAAAATAAGAAACTAGCTCTCAATTGTGCCCCAATATCCAGATTTCAAAAAAGATCACCAACAGTGAAACTTAGTATTATCAGTTGTGCTATGAAAGGGAAAAACGCCAAGGTAATCTAGCTGTTTTTGATGTCCAAGGGCTTAACCATGCCTATAAAAATTATTATATAATTATGACTTTTTTTTTTTTTTTTTTAAGACACAGAGTCTCACTTTGTCACCTAGGCTGGAGTGCAATGGTGCAATCTTGGCTCACTACAACCTCTGCCTCCCAAGTTCAAGTGATACTCCTGCCTCAGCCTCCCGAGTAGCTGGGATTACAAGCACCAACCACCACACCCAGGTAATTTTTGTTATTTTTAGTAGAGACAGGGTTTAGCCATGTTAGCCAGGCTGGTCTCAAACTCCTGACCTTGGGTGATCAGCCTGCCTCTGCCTCCCAGAGTGCTGGGATTGTAGGCATGAGCCACCGCACCCGGCCGTGATGATCTAATTATTTTTAAGGTTGGTGTTAAGAGTGATGTGCCAAAAAATAAGCCAATTCCAAATCCATCTTATCCCATTTACTAGTGTGTAATTTGAAGAAGATGGGCACTATCAGTATTGAGATTTCCAGTGATACTTCCATTTATGTCACTTAGCTGAGGGAGAAGGAATCAAAACATTACAATATTATTACACAAGCAGACCCAACATGAATAAAAACAGCTTTACATATTCCAAAGAAGATTTGAAACCAAGTTAGATTTAATAACCTGGTTCCCTATCATGCGTATGCAAACATATCCAGACAGAGAAGTTGTTGCCTTACAGGGCACTAATTTACCTAATGCTGACATCTAGAACCAGGAAATAGCAAGTATGATGTGCATAACCATGACCTGCACAAGCACATATATAGTAATTCCCCACTGGTTTCCACTCAGATACCAAGGAGAAAATGATAATTGCATAGATAGTTAACTCACTCCTCTTTGTGCCTTACAGACCATTAAAAAACTTAATTAAAAAACAAGGCTCATGCCTGTGATACCAGCACTTTGGGAAGCCAAGGCAGGCAGATCACGAGGTCAGGAGTTTGAGACCAGCCTGGCCAATATCGTGAAACCTTGTCTCTACTAAAAAAAAAAAAAATACAAAAACTAGTTGGGCATGCTGGTAGGCACCTGTAGTCCCAGCTACTCAGGAGGCTGAGGCAGGAAAATCGCTTGAACCTGGAAGGCAGAGGTTGCAGTGAACCAAGATTGCCTCATTGCATTCCAGCCTGGTCAACAGAGCAAGACTCCGTCTCAAAAAACAAAACACAAAACACAAAACCAAAAAAACACACCAGTCCATTTATTCTAAATCCTTTGCTTCACCTCGAACTATGAATTTCTAATTCTACAAGACAGTAACAAGAATGTCATGATTCAGGCTGGGCCCAGTAGCTCAAGCCTGTAATCCCAGCACTTTGGGAGGCTGAGGCGGGGGGATCACGAGGTCAAGAGATCGAGACCATCCTGGTTAACATGGTGAAACCCTGTCTCTACTAAAAATACAAAAAATCAGCTGGGCATGGTGGTGCGTGCCTGTAATCCCAGCTACTCAGGAGGCTGAGGCAGGAGAATTGCCTGAACCCCAGAGGCGGAGGTTGCGGTGAGCCGAGATCGCGCCATTGCACTCCAGCCTGGGTAACGAGCGAAACTCCATCTCAAAAAAAAAAGAATGTCAGGATTCAAAATTCATCACCTTTCCCCCAAATTCATACCACTCTAAATGCCTTGGTAAAAAACTCAGGTGTTTTTGAAGAAAGTTTTTCATAACTTGCTAAAGGAGATAAAACACCATTAATGTTGCACTCCTATTTCACAAACTCTTTGGGCTTGGAAGGCCCAAAAGATCACGACGTAATTCTCCTTCTGACTCCACACAGTACCATGCCTAAACCACCAAAGATTGAGATTTATCTACAGCAGAAGGTCAACAAGAGCAGGTGCTGGCTGACTGCAGATCACTTGGAAAGACCGTTCAAAAAAACATCCCTGAACTGTACTTCACCAGTATCAAACCAGAATTTCTGGAGCACTTGGAAATACATATTAACAAATTCCCTAAGAGATGTGGATAGACAGCACCAATTTGTGTACTACTCTAATTTGCCAAAGAGAATTTCAAATTATGGAACCTAATTAAAGTTTCCCAAACTGCTGCAGCCTACCTCAGTCATCTAAAAAAGAATTCCAATCTATCAACAGGAATGGACAAGCTGTGTTGACAAACATTTAAAACAAAGACAATTTTTATCTTTAGGTGAAGTTCAGACTGTCAGCTCTATCCCATGCAAACAGGAAAAGAAACGAGAAAGTGACTTCTTGTTCTCCAGGCAGTATAAGCAAACAGATGAATGTTACTTACATAGTTCTTGACTTCTCGTCGAGCATTAGCATCAATAGCAAGCCACCTCTGCTGATACTGTGCCTTGATATCTGGATCTTTAGATGTCAAGGAGTTCTTGATTTGTAGACCAGCTGCAACTCTGGCAACCTGACTGTTTCCTGGATTTGCTAGCACTCTGGACAGTTCCACAAGGAAAGTAGGCTGTAAAGGGAAGATAAATTTGTAAATAAAAAAATATCTTAGGAATTTCCGCAACTGAGGATAACTTATGGAGCACTAAAACACCAGAGGGGACTGGGGATGGGGGAAACTAATTTCTAATTTTTTTTTTTGATATATCATGAGCATCTCAGGAAACCACAAAATATTGACTTGAAGACTTCTATAAAAATGTTATTTAGTATAACAGGAAGTCTTCCACTTTTCTCATGGAGCCTAGCACTTAATGAAGAATTACAGATTTTCTTATCATGATCAATCTTAGTGCCCAAAGTGTCACATCAGACCCACTGAATTGTAAGGTTTCACGGGATGGTGGCAGTCAGTGCAGTCTTCTATGTATACTGAGGTGTCCCAAGAACATATAATAATGTCTGGTACTCAGTAAATATTTGTTGAAAGGCCAGGCGTGGTGGCTCATGCCTGTAATCCCATCACTTTGGGAGGCTGGAGGCAGCTGGATCACCAGATCAGGAGTTCAAGACCAGCCTGACCAACATAGTGAAACCCATCTCTACTAAAAATACAAAAATTAGCCAGGTGTGGTGGCAGGTGCCTGTAATCTCAGCTACTTGGAAGGCCGAGGCAGAATTGCCTGAACCCAGGAGGTGGAGGTTGCAGTGAGGTGAGACCACTGCACTCTAGCCTGGGCGACAGAGCTAGACTCTGCCTCAAAATAAATAAATATTTGTTGAATGAATGACTGTTATGATGGGGGTAGAAAACAAAATTGTTTATCTAAATTTCAAAAACCTTGGTCCAAAAAGAATGATCCAACTTTCCATCCCATGGAAGCAGGGTAGCTTTCTATCCCATGGAAGGATGTAATCTTTTATGACAGGGAAATATAGATAAATCTAAAACAAACTTAGGACTCTCGTCCTCTGTTTTATTTGTGGGCACCCAGCAAAAAGAGAACAATGAAATAAGCGGATTTATGAGGGCAAGTGGTAAAATATGTAAAAACAGGGAAAAATTGAAAGAAAAAATGTTCAAGTAAGTTGTTCAAGAAAAATAACTTTGTATCTAATAATCAACAATTACTTGCTCCTATGCATTTGGACTTTAGTTGTGGAATACAGTGGATCCCTGAAAAGCATGCTCTTTTGTAACCTTTTGTAGTGCACTGGCCTCAAAAACTACTCCCTTTCATTTAAAAATTTAACACACACACCCTTCTCTCTCCATCAAAAACACTGTGCCCAAATAGCAAAGTTAGCAGGAAAAGCCAAAAGCAGATACATTCTTACTGCTAACAAGTTCTGCAATCGCAGAAGATAATTCTTGAAAGTTTCGTTAATTATGTACAACTAAAGAATGTTAAGCATGTTAGACGTAAGATAAAAAGCTTCTTGCAAAATTGGCAAAAGCAGAAACAGAAATATCCTAAATGGAATTAATCAGCCTATACTGGTGAAAAAATCACGTTCTAAGAAAGGATAAACAGATTACTTGTAAAAACTGGCGCATGAGGAAGAAAAAAAAATAAATCTTTCAAAGGCAGTCTGTATAAAATAAGCCTTGTCACTTTGTTGACATTTTGCCTATGTAACACAAAGAAACACATATGGTTACAGTGTTATTCAGACTTATTTCCTATTACCTTTCTCAAAGACGTCAAGCATCATCCAACCCTTCCCTCTGTCCCCATCTCCATCCCCCAACAGGAGATGGACAGGACAGCAAACTTAACCGGCACCCAGGCTGCTTCAACCAATTCATTCCACATTTTTATGCAGAGGTCCAGGCTCTAGTGGACTTAGCTTCATTTTCTCTGTACTCCTTAAATTTTAAAATATGAAAAACGAAGAACTTTCCTCTTTGATTACATCAGGAAATAGGCCCGATCTCAAAGATGAGCCTCAGTCTGTTTCTGTTTGTCTGGGTGCAGATCCCTAGTGATTAGGTCTCTACTCATCCAGGGCAGAAAGAATGGGGAAAAAAACAGGAAAAAAAAAAAAATACCCGAGAAGAATAACCGGGTAGAAGAGAGAAAAATATTAGTGGAAATGGGTTAAGAGGCAGTCGGGTGCCAGGCCTGGCCATGAGCACAGACCAAGGGAGCTAGAAAAGGGCAGAGCTCTAGGAAATTAGGTGGGGAGAGCCACAGGGGCCAGGGGACGGGAAGAAGCAGCTGGCCGGGGTCAGACGGGGCGGGCGGCGGGCCCCGGAGCTTCCACATGGCCCCTAGGCCCGGCTCCCCAACCCCCACCCCTGCTGAACACGCAGCGCCGCGCAACCTAACTTCCCTTCCCTCCCTCTTTCTCCCTCCCGCTGCACCGCCGCCCTCAGGCCGCGCGGCGATTGGGCGGCAGGAAGCCCGGCGCGCCGCGCCATTGGCCAGCTGCGGGGCCCGGGGCGGGACACACCCACCGGCTTCCCGATGGCGGGGTTAGGTTGGACCGGGTGGGGGGAAGGGGGACGGGATGGGGCGGGGTGGGTTCCTGAGGCCTGGGCCTCCGGGAGGGCGGGAAGGCCCCGCACGTAGGGGATGGGGACGCGGCGGGATGGGCGCGGCGGGGTAGCACGCACCAGGTTCTCCACGGCCGCACGCTCCAGGAACTTCTGCGCCGCTTCCAGCTCCAGCCGATCTAGGGGGAGGAAAGTGGGAGACACAGCGGGGTCAGAGGGGCCGGGCCTCCCCTCCCCCACCCCAATCACCTCAGCCCGACCCCCGGCTCCCGCGTCCTACCGGGAGACACGGTCTTCTCGAGGATGGTGATCAGCTCCATGGCGGAGGTGGCGGCGGCGGCGACTCCTCCTAAGACGACGGTCCGGCCTCTCGGGCGGCGGCTCGAACTGGGGATGGGGGTTGGGGGTCGGGTGGGAAGGGAGGGTGGGGTGGGGGGCGGGGGTCACCACAAGCCCATTCACCGGCTCTTTCTGGGTAGTCGCTCGGGCTTCTCTTCCTCTCCTCTTCCCTTCCTTCCTCCCTCCGAATGGGCTGCTGGCGGCGGGGGAGGGACCCCGGGGGCAGCTCACAGCGCGCTGGTGCTCGGGAGGCGGAGGGAGAAAGAAGGAAGGGAGGCTGTGAGTGAGAGGCGGCGCTCTGGAGGGAGCGAGGGAGGGAGGGAGGAAGGCGGAGGGATATTCGGGCCGGACCTCTCCGCGGCGGCACCGCGCTCCACAGCGATTGGCCGCCGACCTGGCCACGCGGAATCCCCAATTGGTCAGGTGCTCAGCGTCGAAGGGCCGCCTCGCGCCCATTCGCCTGCTGGTTTCAAGGCCCGGGTTGGCTGGGCGGGCAGCGGAATGGAGCGTGCGGATAGGCCGAGGGGAGGGAGATAGGGGTGGGGCAGGAGAGAGCCGGCCGCTGATTGGGTGGGCCTGGTAAAGGCCTTGAGCTCAGACCGGCTGAGCACTGGGAGGAGGGTGGACCGAAGGTAAGACTCGGATCCCGCGCGATTGGCTGGGATACTAGGCGTTGATAGGATAGGGTGCCCGGGAGAACTAGGGAGAGGAGTTCGGGGTCGGGGCGCGGAAAGGCGGGAGGCGCCTGGCCGCCTTTGGAGCATTGCGCGGGGCACGATGGGACGCCCCCGGGAAGAGGCGGAGCTGGGTTCGACCGCTGTGGCTGCGGTTGGGTAAGCGCCGTCGCTCCGAGGGGCGTGATGAGCGAGGCTTTCGCGGGCCTGAGCGGGGGAGGGGGGACCGTTAAAGTCCTGCGGCCGCGCCCACAGGAAGCTGCTTTAAAGGCTACATCTACTTGGTACCCGGCTCTGCTGGGACGGATCCATAAGACCATGTGGCTCCACTTCCAATGTATAGCTGTGGAAACTGAAGCCCAGAGAGGGTATGGAACTTGTCCAAGGTCACACACCCGGTTAGTGGCTTTGTAGCGAATGGGCTCAAGCTCTCCTGACTGCCCTTGTCCCTAAAAAGAGCTTCCTCTCTGAAGAGTCCCTAAGCCTGCTTATATAGGGCTTAAGACCCGTGCTGTGATAAGGTCTGACTTGCTTAGGGTGGGCTAAGGGGTTCCTCCTTTTAGACCCCCATCCGTAGCTACCAGGTGCTTAACAGAATGGAAATGTTTCAACCTCCAGAAGTGTCCCTGTAAAGGCCCAATTTCAAACCAGAAAGAATGTGTGTACAGGCATAAAGGATGGTGTTTCTTGACCTGCTTAAGTTCTGAACCCTGGAAGAAAGTCATGAATGCCTCCCCCCCCCCCCCCATAGAGTCTTGCTCTGTCGCCAGTCTGGAGTGCAGGGCGTAGTTTCGCTCACTGCAACCTCCGCCTCCTGGGTTCAAGGGTTCAAGCGATTCTTCCGCATTAGCCTCTCGAGTGGCTGGAACCACAGGCGTGTGCCACCACGCCCATCTAATTTTTGTATTTTTAGTAGAAATGGGGTTTCACCATGTTAGCCAGGATGGTCTTGAACTCTTGACCTCGTAATCCGCCCACCTCGGCCTCCCATAGTGCTGGGATTACAGGCGTGAGCCACCGCACCTGGCCATGAATGCCTTTTTTAAGCAAAATGCGTATTTTTAAAAATATGGTCCAGGAGCGGTGCCAGCACTTGGGGAGGCCAAGGTGGTTGATCACGAGGTCAAGAGATTAGAGACCATCATGGCCAACATGGTGAAACCCTGTCTCTACTAAAATACAGAAAATTAGCTGGGCCTTGTGGCACACACCTGTAGTCCCAGCTTCTCGGGATGCTAAGGCAGGAGAATCACTTGAACCTGGGAGGCGGAAGTTGCCGTGAGCCGAGATGGCACCACTGCACTCCAGCCTGGTGACAGAGCAAGACCCCGTTTCAAAAAAAGAAAAAAATATATATGCATACAGTGTCTTGACTTTCTTTGACATTGGTAAGTGGGCTCCAGGTTAAGAATTTCCTAGACTGGGAGCGGTGACTCACCCCTGTAATTGCAGGACTTTGGGAAGATCGCTTGAGCCCAGGAGTTCAATGCTAACCTGGACAACACAGCAAGATCCTATCTCTCTTTAAAAAAAAGATTTTTAAAATGATAAAGGAAAAGTGTAATAATAGGGCCAGGTGTGGTGGCTCATGTCTATAATCCCAGCCCTTTGGAAGGCCGAAGAGTTCAAGACTAGTCTGGCCTATGCAGTGAAACCTCGTCTCTACTAAAAATAAAAAAAATTAGCCGAGTGTGGTGGCACTCACTTCTATTCCCAGCTACTTGGGAAGGTGAGACAGGAGAATTGCCTGAACCTGGGAGGCAAAGGTTGTAGCGAGCCCAAGACTGTGCCACTGCACTTCAATCTGGGTGACAGAGCAAGACTCTATCTCAAAAAAAGAAAAAATAAAGAATTTCCTGAATTGTCTCATTTTCATACTACTGATGTAAGGGTAATTGGGTGTCACTGGTTCACAGAGCTCTTTACCATATGGCTTGAGCTTGTGAGATAATTGCCTTGCACTAGTCACACTGGGAAAACCTAGGAGGAAGTCTGACCTTGCTGAAGGGTTTCACCAAGAATTAGGAAAGCTTGGCCAACTTTTCAATAAAAGAGGAGGAAGTGTTTTTTCTTTGCTACAGATATATCTTTGCAAGTTTTGAATCTAGAAGTGTAGGGACACCATTTCTTACACAATACTGTGACTAGTGTATTTCCCATGGCTTAGTAGTTCCCCTAACCCCAGCATTTTACTTCATTTATTAACTGTGGAAGAATTGCCCCGTGTGTATAACTGTTAGAAATCAGTGAAGATTGGGCCAGGCATGGTGGCTCACACCTGTAATCCCAACACTTTGGGAGCCTGAGGCAGGTGGATCACCTGAGGTCAGGAGTTGGAGACCAGCCTGGCCAACACGGTGAAACCCCGTCTCTACTAAAATACAAAATTGGCCGGGTGTGGTGGCGGGTAACTGTAATCCCAGCTGCTTGGGAGGCTGAGGCAGGAGAATAGCTTGAACCCAGGAGGTGGAGGTTGCAATGAGCCGAGATTGCGCCACTACACTGAAGCCTGGATGTCCATCTTAAAAAAAGAAAAAAGAAATCAGTGAAGACTGGCCACTCACGGTGGCTCACGCTTATAATCCCAACACTTTGGGAGGCCAAGGCAAGTGGATCACTTGAGGCCAGGAGTTCAAGAACAATCTGGGCAACATGGCAAAACCCTGTCTCTACAAAAAATTCAAAAATGAGGCAGGTGTGGTGGTGTGTGCCTGTAGTCCTAGCTACTCGGGAGTCTGAGGCATGAGAATCACTTCAACCCAGGAGGCAGAAGTTGCAGTGAGCCAAGATGATGCCACTGCACTCTAGCCTGGGCAACAGTGAGACTATACCCCCCACCCACCTAAAAAAAAAAGGTCAATGGAGATTAAGTGAGATGACATCCATGAAAATCCTGGTATTGTCTTTATGTGAGTGTATTGTCTTTATGTGAGTTACCCACACTACAAATTATACATAATTTGCTTCACTCAAGCTAACTTTCCCCTGCTCTCCAGCAGTTTTGTGGGCCACCTCTGTCTCAACATTAGTCATGATAATACCAGTAAGGAAAATGGATTTTTAAAGCAACTGAAACAAGATCAAAAGCCTGTCTCAATTTTTTTTTTTTTTTTTGAGATGGAGTCTCACTCTGTCACCTGGGCTGGAGTGCGGTGACAATCTCAGCTCACTGCAAACTCCACCTCCCGGGTTCAAGCAGTTCTCCTACCTCAGCCTCCCAAGTAGCTAGGATTACGGTTGCTTACCACCACACCCAGCTAATTTTTTATTTTTTTGTATTTGAGACAAGGTTTTACTATGTTGGCCAGGCTCGTTTCAAACTCCTGACCTCAATTGATTCGCCTGCCTTGGCCTCTCAAAGTGCTAGGATTACAGTCATGAGCCACCACTCCCAACCTATACACTTTTTTTTTTTTTTTTTTTTTTTTGAGACGGAGTTTCGCTCTTGTTACCCAGGCTGGAGTGCAATGGCGCGATCTCGGCTCACCGCAACCTCCGCCTCCTGGGCTCAGGCAATTCTCCTACCTCAGCCTCCTGAGTAGCTGGGATTACAGGCATGCGCCACCACGCCCAGCTAGTTTTTTGTATTTTTAGTAGAGACGGGGTTTCACCATGTTGACCAGGATGGTCTCGATCCCTCGACCTCGTGATCCACCCGCCTCAGCCTCCCAAAGTGCTGAGATTACAGGCTTGAGCCACCGCGCCCGGCCCAACCTATACACTTTTTAAAAATTAGCCAGGCATGGTGGCATATACTTCAGGAGGCTGAGGCAGAAGAATCGCTTGAACCTGGGAGGCGGAGGTTGCAGTGAGCCAAGATCGTGCCACTGTACTCCAGCCTGGGCGACAGAGCGAAACTCAATCTCAAGTTAAAAAAAAAAAAAAAACTATCTTGGGGAAAATATGTCAATATTTTAATGGTGGATATAATTTGAGGTTGCAGGTGGTTTCTGTTTAACTCGTTTTCAAAATTTCTACAGTGAGGAACACATATCACTTTGATAATTTGAGAAAGAGGAAAGCAGCCACACGCAGTAGCTCATGCCTATAATCTCAACACTTTGGGAGGCTGAGTCAGGCGGATTGTTGAGCTCAGGAGTTAAGTAAGAGACAGCCTGGGCAAAGTGATGAGACCACATCTCTACAAAAAATACAAAAATTAGCTGGGTGTGGTGGCGTGTCTTTGTAGTTCCAGCTTGCATCCAGGAGGTAGAGGCTGCAGTAAGCTGAGATTGTGACACTGCACTCCAGTGAGACTCTGTCTAAGAAACACCTGATGTAATCCCATGCATAGTTCAAGAAAATGCAACTTGAAGTCCCTTGTGTAATCCTCCCCATGCTACTAAACCATGTGGCTGCCAACTCCTCCCACTTGGGAAACACTGCAAAGTGGCATCACTACCCATTCCACAGTGGAAGCCAGAAATCTAGTAGGCACCAGTGGATGCTTCCCTCTTCTTTCAATCAATCACCAAGTTCTTCATGCCACTGCATTCCAGTCCGAGTGACAAAGCGAGATCCTGTCTCAAAGGAAAAAAAAGGATCGGGTGCAGTGGCTCATGCCTGTAATCCCAGAACTGTGAGGTGGGTGGATCATGAGATCAGAAGAATGAGACCATCCTGGCCAACATGGTAAAACCCCATGTCTACTAAAAAAACACATATGGTTGAGTGTGGTGGCACATGCATGTAATCCCAGCTAGTAGCTAGTAGCTGGGATTACAGGTGCGTG